TCAGCTTTGAACACTCTGGTGTCTGGCTGGACTCACAAGCAGCAAAGGAAGAAGATGCAGGAGCAGGGAGCAAGTTCAGTGTTTGGATGGTGACAATTTGCCAGGCTGGGTAACCCTGTTTGTGCCCCATGGGCATTGGGGAAGTAAAAAGTGCATTATAAAAGAGGCAAAGAATAATACTAAAGTAGCATGGGAAAGAAAAGGAAATTTAGACATTTCTGACAAAATTGTACCTTTGATACTTCTGTTTCTGCTTTTTATGAAATCTTTCCTCTTTCTCTGAATGATCCAGTGAATTAGGGGCTCCTGTTTTGGTTTGCTTTTTAAAAAATCCCTATTGCTTTTAGCATGCTGAAAGCTTTATTGAGGTTCTGATTTTCCTTTCTCCACCGCTGTAAAGCCTCTCTAGCATTGCCTTACCGAGTGCAACTAATTAACATCAAAGGGATATTGTTCATTATGGCTCTATGATCAGCCATGTATCCCCTATATGCTGAATTGGCTCTTTTGAGTCTCATTGAGGGTGCCTGCTCTAAGTCCCTTACAGATTGCCTTCTTCATTTGCACAGCATACACAGGTTAATATTCACATGCATTTAAGTGGAAAATTGCCTCTTCCTGAAGGACCATCAGCCCTGTCTGGTGGCATTTTCTATAAAACACAAACTCAGATATTGCACTGCTAACAGGCACTGCTTTATTTCTTTGTTGCCTCTTGACTTAGCATGCCCATGGTTAAAACTCAACCTGCAAATTTCTGCTGTATTTCCTTTAATTTCATTTCCAGGGATCTGTTTTCCTTACCCACATGTCACCATTGCTTAGAGGTGGACACAGATCCCCTCCCTGGCCATTTTCTGTTTCCCTGCCATCACACTCTGCTACTTCCACTCTGTCTGTGAAGGAAATTCTGTCCAGTTCCTGGCATGAAGAGGGAATTCCATCAATGCTGCAGAAAAATGCAATGTCTGGAACAACCCCCTGAAACTGCAGCTCTGTGGGTTTGCAGTTTCCTCTTGATCAGCACAACAAACCAGGTCTGCTCCCAATATTCCGCAGGTTCAGAGAGAACCTTGAATCTCAAAGCTGAAAAGGGAGTGTAAACAAAAATGCAATGTCACACTGTTCAAAAGTGAGTGCATCATTTTCCATTGGAAATCATTTCCTTGCTAATTCATGGAATCACCATAATTCCTGTCCCATGGCATACACAGCTATATCCAGAGAAGTTAGGATAGATTTTTGTTACACATTATGTAAAAATATATCCACCCCTTCCCTGAATTTCTAGCATATTTATACACTAGCTTTATATTTTTTATGCTTCTCTAATGCCTTGCAGTTTTTTGGAAGCCTATTTACCTATTGTAGATATATTTCTGACTTCATAAAAGGTGTTCCATGTACATTTTATTTTCTTTTCTAATTCAGAGTATCTGAAGTACAGTGAGGTTCGTGCTGCAGCCCATAAAAATGACACTTTTCTGTTATAAAACTGAGCTTGTGTTTTGTGCTTCGGAGTGTTCTGAACTTCGTGGGCATTTGTTCACTGTTGCAAGAACTGACACGAATTTCATTTGTACTGAGATGCAGATTTTGGGAAGTGTCTGCTTACTCCAAAAACTGCACATTTTTTACACTTAATTTGGTACTAAGTCAAGTGGTAACCACACCATTTAAAATACTTTTTATAAGCATAAAAGGAGGTATGCTGCGTGTGTATTAATTGGGAGTTTCTAACTTTGCCTTGAAAAAGTGAAAAACTCTTTAAAAATAGTGCCATGCTTTACTTTCAGATCGATGCAGTACAGGCAGGTGCTAAAAGTGCTTCTCTATGATTTTAAATTTGGCACACCAGCAAGGCTATCTAGAATTCCAGCAGCTTCTGTGCCCTGGAGATCCACTGCTTTGTTGAAAAAAATTGAGAATGAACCACCATAAATATTATTATATAATATCACATACATAAAGTAAATATTTTAGTGTAATAATATTACTTAAATATGAGTATTTGAATTGTAATAGTTTACAGTAAGAGCTGGCAATGAAAGAAGCCTGTGTGACATCCCTTGTAGTCCTGTCCCCTGTGGAGGGCCAGGGAGACCTTTTTACATTTAAGACCAAAATGCCACGATTGTTACTGATTTTTTACCTGTTTTGCATCTACCTTGTAGAGTTTGACACTATTTTTGTTGAAATTGTCCTGTTTAGATAAACTTTATTAGATCACAAAAAATCCTACTTGCTAACACTATAAAAACCCTCATACCTGCTCAACTCACTGCCTACCCAGGGAGTGCAGCTGCTTAATGTGGGGGAAATGAAAATATTAATCTGTTCCTTAAAGATTAAAATTGTCATAAAAATCCAATATTAAACATGGTGCCTGTTTAGCCTTTTTGGGTTTCCCTTAAGTTTGGAGTAAGTCATCTTGTATTTGGTGCTGACTGAAAAATGTAATTTGACGTTTTTAAAATTAAAACCGTCATGGTATTTAAAGATGAACTTAAGCTCTGCTAATTCTATTAAACTGCAGGCTGCCAATGAGTTATAAAGTCTAATTAATCATTTTGTCAGCTTTGCCTTCTGAAGCTAGTCAATATAAATTTGAATAAATAGGAAGCTGTTGACCCAGACACCTCTGGATGCTCTGAATAAAGATGTGCCAGTAGTAAAACACTCCAACAATTGCCCACTTTGCACATGGTGTGCACAAATGTGGCAGGGAATTACACACTTACACACAGGCGTGGCCTTGGTCTTAATTTAAATTATTTATTTGTGGCGATAAATAAAGGAATATGTGGAGTCATCCCTCCTGTGTTTTGTCAAGACAGGGGTTTTGAGGAGGAAAACTTTTTTAGCCCAAGTTTGTCGCTGACACTGCAGTGTGACATGTCACATCAGGTTGCATCAATAGAGCCGTGTTATGTAAAAGTAATGAAATGTGACTGATAGAACCCAAGATACTGTAACATACTGTAACATAATGTGTCAGCATTTCTTTAATGGAGCCTTTCAGGAATGCTTTTTTTTGGTAAAACACCTTAAAAAGTCAGTTACAAAGAGTGATGAGGTGAGAGAAAATATTTGCACTCCGTTGCCACCACAAGAAACACAGAAAATAATCTAAATAAAAAATATTTCCAGTAATTTATATACATACATATGAACTAGAAATTCAGAAAAGTGAAACCTAGGCATCATTAGTTAATTTTCTAACTGTGTTTTATGAAATTGGTTTCCTGCACAAGAGTAAGAACTTGCCTGTGTTTGACATAAGATGAGGTATTGGAAGTTCTGTCTGTCCAACAGAAAAAGTTACATTTCTATAATATATCCTAACGATCCAGGAAACCTCATTTCCATTAAAACCAGCCCCGTGAGCCAAGAAACAAAACGATTATTTACATTTTTGTAGGTCGGATTGCACCTTTTCCTCCATCCCTCAGTGAGCTGGTGAAGCCGGGGGCGGAATGGCCCCGCGTGCGGGATGCGGCGCATAAACCACCCCTGCCACCAGCATCCCCCTTGGCAGGAGGGGACACTCCGAGCTGTTTGTCTTCAGCAGATTAACAGGGAAGGTTGTTTTTGTTTGTCTGACTGGTCAAGGACAATTTACAGTTCAGTTACTCCGAAGGAAAGACTTGTTGATTTGAGAGCGCTCCTATTATAGCTGCAGGTAGGGGATGATGGATTCAGCCGTCACCGTGATGGAGTGCAGCCCGCGCGCTGGCAGCGCACTAAATAAATAAAACACTGGTGGATCTGTTTGCTTCAGCTGCTCAACAGCAAGGGCTGCCATGGGGGTGGAGGCTTCTCGAGTGGGGGAACCAAGGGTTTCGATCTCCTCTTTAGCTCAAACAACTTCTTGGTCTTTCTCAGAATTTTCAGATTCATCCATAGGGGAAACAAGGAAAGAAAATAAAAAGAACGCTTTTTTCTTATAGGAATTATGAATCCCATGGCTCAAAGACAAATTTTTGGACTTGCTATAAAATATTCTCTTCACGTAGTCAAGCACCCATTTTCTCCATTTTTTTTCCTTATCTTTGAATTTCTGAGACAAGAGCTGTTAAAAATCTAGTTTTTCCCTTGGCTGTGGGAGACTGTTCTGTGTAGAACATCCTCTCTTGGAACAGCCACTGTGAGAGTGGACACAAATTGTCTTGCAGGTTTAATTGATCTATTAGCTCAGTTGCTTATTCTCTGGCTGGATATTACCCTTGATAGCCATTATCATTCCATTAGAGCAGTCTTGTCAATTTTTAATTGCTGATCATTTAAGATATATTCAGTATATGTAACAACTCCTTTTTTACTCATCAGTGGGAATTGTTTGCTATGCTACAAAGCTTTTAACTAATAGGAATTTTTCTTCTGCGTCATGTTAGTTTTTATGATTTTTCTCTTGGCGACATGAAATAAATCACTCCTAACAGTTCTAATTCCACTATATTTTAGTTAATTATATGGATACAAATTTACATTTTAAATTAAAATTTATACACTTGAGAAAAAACTATTAAAAACTGTGGAAGAAATCAATAAAAAAAAAAAAAAAAACATGTTTACTTCTACTTCCCTGCACATCTCATTCCATGCTCCTCAGTGCAGGCAGGGTGCACAGGCTGGTCTTGAATTTTCTGGTCTGTTGTGGTGCAAGTAAGGCTGATACTGACAGATATTGTACTTGCATAGCTGCTGAGAGATCAGAAATAGAAAACTGGGAGAAAATTTATGTCCCCAACCCAAAATTTGAGTTCCATTTTCCATTAGGAGATGGTGCTGAGTGCTGCCCATGGTAGCTGAGTGAATCTCGCTGTGCCATGGAGTGGTAAGACCAAGGATTGTCATATTCATATTTCATATTATTTTCATCTTGCAATTCAAGCAGCAAAGATGGGATCTAGACTGAGAGATCATACATCCAAAGTCAGTAAACTTTATTTCCAAAAGCAAGAGGGTTTTTCCCAGAGGTTTTTTGCTTTTCCTGATAGGTTTGGGCTTTTCCAAGTGTTCAGATTTGCAGAAATGCTGAGAGGTTGATGATAGCACACAAAGGCCAAGGTGAGTTTCCCCTGTAAAAACACTGATCATTTATTGTCTGGTGGCCTTCCTAAGATGTGATTTTTTTAATCTCAAGATGAATTTTTGTCTGCATAAATACTGTGAAATCCCCACTGAGTCAGAAAACCTTTAAAAACAGAGAACTGGCAATTCTACATGATAAACTTTCACATACACAAAAGGCACATCACCTCTTCAGCCCTCCACAAAGGGGATGGGAGCAGAAAAATAACAAACTGCATTGTTCCTCTCTGAGCCTTGAGTGGAACAGATAACATTATTGAAGGGAATCATACAGAGCCATGTTGGACAGTCCTTTCAGCAAGGATGGACTCTGGTTTTTCTCATTGTCTGCTTCATATTGATACTGCTTTAGTGGCACAAAATACAATTTTATGAGTGTTGTTTCTTTGCTATCAGGTGGAGCCAAGAGGGTAAACACCTGCCACTGGTAATAATAGTGGCTTTTGGGGGGTAAAGTTGGAAGGGGTGATACTGCAAATAAAAGTCAGTTTGACAGGGAGGAGTAAAATCAGTGTTAATGCTGTTTGGTTTTGAAGAAGGCTTTATTGAAGTTGGAGGGGAGACGACCCACCTTGCATTGGTCAGCCATCGACCCCGATTTATTAATCAATCAATCACCTTTTATAACAGTGTTAATCAAGTTCATGCATATTGCAAAATCTGAGCTCACAATAGGCCAGAGATTACACACCAACCCCTCCTTATGTTTCCAATACCAAGATTTGGGTTCTCAAAATTATTCTTGCTTTCCCAAAACAGCCAAAGATAGAACATCCACTTGTTATGAGAAAGCTGCCTGAGAACTCTGATGTGCAAGGCTCTCAAGGCCTTCATGTTTGTCACTTTTACCTGTAATTAAAAATAACCTGAGAACCTCTGCTGTTTACAGAGGCAGGCTGTGAGAATCTGCTCCTCACAGCTGCCTTCTAGGCCATCCCTGAAAAAATCTCCAACAAGGCTTGATAAATTGAAAAGCAAAATTAAAGCATTAGGTCTATATAGTAAATGAGAATTAATAATCTAATAAAATGTAACATTAGTAAGAAATAATAGAGGAGATGTAAACACTCTCAGTGCAGATAAGCTCTGCTCTGGGACACACAAGTCTGGCAATGGCTCTGGTTTCTGCAGGTGCCTTTGGTGCCCTCTGTCATGCATTTAGCAAGTTCATTTCTGGAAGGGAAATGAGGATCTAATACTGCAAATTGGCCAATTTCTACTCTTCCAAATCAAACTTTTGTGTGGAGGATACTGAAGTTTCAGTACTGGTAAATTTAATATTTTCTTGGCTTTTTTAGCAAGTTTTTCACAACCCTTTTCTTCCAGTTTATGGGTTGATTTCTTTAACTTTTTCTTTGATTTTCCCCACTATTTTTTTTAATTTCACTGAGTTCTTATCTGTGCTCACAGTAAGCTTAATTCGTTTCTCTTGCCCTGCAGAGCACTCCAGTAATTACTGAAACTGCCAATGAAGAAACAACTACAAAGCAAGAATCAAATGTGTGCTATAAATAAGGTATTGAATTCTGTTTGACTGCACAGGGCAACAATTTCTAAAAATTGCTGAAGAGTCCAATAAACAAGGTAGATCTTGAAGATGTTTGTCTGTACAAACCTGAAGAGAAACCCCACAAATTGCTTTGCACCAATGGGAAATGAGATGCAGTTTTAAACTTGCAAGTACTTAAATATGTAATTACTTGTTTTAAGAGTAATAGCAGGGAAAAATCATGGAGAATCCAAAGTGGGGTTGTTCTTGTCCATGCCCTTTCTGTTTAGATGTGCAATTCTTACCCAAATTTCCCAGTTCACACTTCACCCTTTGTCTGTCAGAGATTTCTAACTAATTTCTTCCCCAGTACTGCAGGTTTTGGAGGTGGAAATGGGGAATATGTTTGAGGTAACTGTGAGCAGGACTGAAAGGTGACTCAGCCCCAAGTCTCTCTGCCAAACACCTATTTAAGTCCCTGACTCCTAAAATAAATGCTCAGAGCAGCTTTGCCAGTCAACTCCAAAATTTTCAAGTCAGTTTTCAACTGAAAATTTGATTTGATTTTGGAGTTAGCTGAACATCAAGTGGTCCAAGTGCTATTTAAAATGAATTCCTGGAAGCGTGGGAGTCATCCCTGAGAGCTCAAAAGCAAATCCTGAGTGTCTGGAACTCTCTGGGAGATGTCTCACAGTCAAGCAGAAGCTGGAGAATTCACCTTGTGCTGTGACACATTTTGGGTGTCCCTCCGTGTGCAAATGATAGGATTTGAGAATAAGGTGACTTGGCCACACTGATGGGATTTTAATGGGAGAATCATCTGGAGATGCACGTGCTGTCCCAGAGGTACAAAGGTACTGTAAATGCATTCTGCTTGAATATCATTTATTGCTTTTTCCTCTGTGATTAGAGAAAGCAGACGAGCCCTGCTCTGCACTCAAGGAAATTAGGGAATCAATTTCATGGGAGAGGAAATAACAAACAAACAGAAAGCTCTGGGTTAGCACAGGAATATTCACATTTACAAAGTTGTGCAGGTTAAGCAAAAAAGTTTCTTCTTTTTGTAGAGTGATTTTTCATTTTGCACTAGAGGCTTTTAGGGTTATTAAATGTCTAGATTTTAAAGTGTATTTCATCAACTGAAGCAGAACAGGAGCCAAATTTGGGGTTTTGATACGCAAGCATCACTCTCACTAATTCCATTATGAACTTCACATTTATATTCAAAAAAGCCCTGCCTGACTCTGCAGTGTGTGCTGTATGAGATATGAGAATCACAGAATATTCTGGCTCGGAAGGGCCCAGAAGGATCGAGTCCAGCTCTTAATGAATGATCCATGCAGGGATCAAACCCTCACCTTGGGCTTGTTGCACCCCAGAAGTGAGGGCCCTGGCACTGCAGCACACACTCAGTAACTCACATTTCCTTATGGCTCAAAATTTACAAATAATTGATCTCTTTCTGTCTCCTTGTTCTTTTTAACCTTGAAATTATATTTTATCTCCACTAGGGAGCAGCAAATGACACAAAAATATCATTACTGCTCTAATCCCATGGAAAGGAACACGGGAGAAATGGGACTAAGACTTTTAAATTCAATAATCTGGCAGGTTACAAATACATTCACTTTCAATTCTTGTGTGAACAACTGTGATTTTTGAAAACTAAACAGTAGCTTTATCTCTTTTTCTCTCTTTAGCTCGGTTCATTTAAAGCCCCACTGTACAAATTTTCTTTTTGTAGATAAAATAGGTTTTCTTTCATCTTCAAACTGCTATAAAAGGGTTAAGAAAGGGCCTGAATGCTTCAGTTGGCCTCAGATGGAAGCTCAGTTCGATTTCTCTTTTACTATGTGTATTTTTTAATAGTATTTCTCTTATAAAAGCACTTTGAATTAAGGCATATATACATTCTGAATATTTAAATTTTTTAAATGTTATTTAATTTCTTCTCCTCCTACTTGTCTTTGCACTCTGAAGAAGAAGAAATAAAGATTTAAAGAGTGCACTAAAAACAAATATATGACATTCATCCTTTTTAGTCTGGTTAGACTAAACACACGAGATAATGTAAGGAAAGTGGATACACACAAATTAAAAGAGCAAGCAGCTGGGATGGCATTGAGTTTCTTCTGGACAAATGGGCTAAAACTTAAGAAAAAATTAAACTTTTTTTTTGTGGCTGTCAGCTGCTAAACTAGGGAATCATTTTCTAATAAAAGTGATGAATGCTCCCTTTTGGAGTCCTTCAGGAGTGGGCAGGGGAAAGCTCTGAACAATACAGAGCAGAAACCCTTGCAGTGACAGAGGCTCCATCACCTGATTTCTTGCTCTGAACTTTGCTTCCTTCTGCCACTGAACTGCAATATGGAAATGACAGATATTAAAAACAGGAAATTTCCAAAAGAGATTTGGGACTTGAGTTTTCAGGTGATTTCTTGGTTGGACAAAGACATAACTTTGTAGAAATAGCAATGATGTGAGTGTATAACCAGTGCTCTTCATGCCTTTACTTCTGCACTGGACATTTCTGGGTGTTAAAAGTATCTCTAAAAACTCACCACCTTCCCAGAAAAACAGGGAGTTTTTGTTATATTTTTGAAAGATAGACATTTTTTGGTTGTTTTTTATCAAATATATAAGGAGGAAAAACTTCACAGCAACTTTGGAAGCTGCTTGCTCTCATTTCTCTGTGGCCTGGGAGAACTCTGGAGTGTGTTTTGAATATCAGCACTCCAAGGGTGCTGTGTCCAGCCCGTGAGGCAGCGCTGGTGGCACGTTCTGTCCTGGCTCTTTGGAACATCAGGCAGCCCTGAGGCACTGCAGGAGCCCCTTTAGGATCTCATCCACCTGAAATTCCTGCTCCAGCTCCTTTCTGCTCTCACACACATGGAAATCCAGATCATTTAAATGGCTCCAACCTGTCGCAGAAGATGAAGGCCTTTGCCGGGGTCGAGCCATTTGTCGGTGAGGGGAGACTCAGACACTCAATATGAGTGATAAGCAAATTCCGTTTATTGAAGAGAGCATCAGACACTTATACAGCGAGTAATAAGCTTATGAATATTCTGTAAACTAAGCAATCTATTGGTTAAACTATGCTATCAACTCTTCCTCATTCCTTAGGGGTTACATTTCTCTTTTCTCATGCCTCTTTCACTGTTTGTTATCCCACCACAGCTAGGCCCAAGGACACTGCTATCTGTGCAGGTGCAGGACTTGGAATTAGCCATGGTTTTGTACTTTTCCATTTTCTAGCAGCTAAATTCCCAACACCAACCAACTCAGAGCCTTCCTCTGCTGTGTCCTCTTTCAGGCTGAGATGTTGAACTCCTTTGGCTGAACTGGAGTCAATGTCCTCAGAGATGACAGGAGCTATAGGGAAATGTCAATTTTGTGTCTGAGTGACTCTTCCCACCCAAACCAGAGCACTGAGGTGCTGGGGTGCACTTGGTGCCTCTTGGGGCTACCTAAAACCAGACAAAATTAAGGGAATAAAAAGCAGTTCTATTTATTGAAGGGTCTTCAGGTACATTTAGGGCAGATGAAGCCCCCCAGGGGCTGCACCCTAAAATTGACAACAAGTTACGGGTTTGCGCAATTTTATAAGCTTGGTCCATTTGTATATGGGGGGTTAATTTTCTAATTACAGCTTCAGGTAATGAAGTCATTGACCCCAAGTTTGCTCTCCCCGCAAATTCACTTTGGTTTGCATTTCTTGGGGACTGAGTGAGGTGTCCTTGATTGCCGGGCCTGGAGAGGAATTGTTGTGTCTGCCCAAACTGGGAAAGCAGCAGCTCACACTGTACATGGAGTTTAGTTATTCACTAAAGAGCTGCAGAGTTACAAATACATGAAAAATAGGAAGGCTGAAGTCCTAAGGCTTCACACCCAGCTCTGCCAAGAGCAGGCAGGGACCATGGCTTGGAGACTCAGCTGAAATCCCTTGGGAAAATCTTAATCAGCAGGATTGGATCTATCTGGAGCCTGGTCTGCCCTGGGGGCACAGCTCCCACAAAGGGCTGAGGGGAGCAGGAGTGAGCCCACAGCTCCAGAGCTGCTCCAGCATGGATGGGACACTCTGAACATTCCCTCCCTCACCTCAGAGCTCCTCTGGCCCTGCTGTGGAGGGAGAATGTGCTGCAGGGTTCTCCTGCTCTGTCTGTTTGTGCCCAGGCCGCGTCCAGAAAATGAGAGCACTGAGGGTAAGGAAAATATCTAATGAGAAGGTACTGAAAGTATTTTCAATTGACTTTTTCCTCTGCCAAAAGGAAATGTAAACACTCAGATTTCTCAGTTTTCATGTGCCATGCATGAAAGTGATTGGGATAATTTACATTCACACTTATTTTGATAGGCAGGGAATAGATAAGTGGTGAATTAAACTTTTTCTCTCCACCATCTGTATCCAAAAGCAGGAGCATTGGGAGCATGGCAAGTGATGCTGGTTTGGGATGCAATTATATTTCAATGAAAAGGTAAATGTTTGGAAAATACCTGAAAGATGACCATAAGTTTGTGGGCTCATTAGGATTGCAATGAACATAAACTATTGAGTTCCATTGAATTATTTATGGAGTTTTAGGACATAAGATTTCTGTCATTCTGTTGACTGTGTTATAATTAGAATAACTCTGGCATCAGCATCAAGTTGCACACAAACCAAAAATAAATAGGATCAATCATAAGATCATAGTATTGAGTGAAAAAGCTAAAGCATGACGAGTTCCTAATATATGAAAAAAAAAACTCGTAAAATTCAGCTGCTCTGTTAAGACAGAATGTTGAAGGTGTTGGAATTTTTCACTGACACAATGGTACAGATTTCATAACATATTTAAATATTTTATGCTTCTTCCTTGTAAATCTAACATGGAATCATCAGTGACTATTCTGGTCAAATTTCCACATTTGTCAGAGCCTGAGCTGCTAACTCTGACAAAAATCAGTCTGTAGGCTCAGGTGCACCTGCACCTGTGATCTGGTTTAATTTCTTGGGGCTTACTCTGCAGCCAGGGGTAGAATTA